TGAAGCACTTCTGTCATAAACATCTGCATCCCAGAATATTATAGCCATCTGTTTTTCACAATGGGCTTCATAATACTCTAAAACATTCATCAAAATTCTCAGGTTATTTTTCATTTGTCTTTTGGGAAGGAATCCCGATTGGTCTGCATTTATGATCTTCACCATAATTTTTTTAAGTCTCTGTGCCAATATGGAGGCGAATATTTTATAGTCAACATTCAATAAAGATATCGGTCTATAGTTTTTCATCTCTTTTTCATCTGGCTGATCTGTTTTCAATACCCTTCCTAATAATCCCCAGCATAGCATTGGCCTTTTATATTGCAGTCACACACTGTCTCGACATTTTCAGTGAGTTATGTACTACAACTCCAAGATCTCTCTCTTGATCAGTCTCTGCCAGTTTAGACCCCATCAGTGTGTATTTATATTTAGGATATATTTATATTTAGGATTTATTTTTAGGATATATATTTATATTTAGGATTTTTGGCTCCAATGTGCATCACCTTGCACTTGGCCACCTTGCACTTGGCCACATTGAACCCCATTTGCCATGTTGACGCCCATTTGCCCATCCTTGACAGATCCCTTTGGAGTGCCTCACAATCCTCACTGGTTTTCACCACCCTGAACAACTTCGTATCATAAAACCTTGAACCTTCCTTATACTATTACTCTTTTACTTGGAAAAGTCATGTATAATGTATGGATGAAGCTGATAATTTTTATGGCTTTCAGTTTAAGTATGTGGCTAAAAACTCAAAATATATAACACCATTCTCAGAGTTTGAATGATCGACATGTTTTATTGCTACAGATCTATCTCTCCATTTCATTTTTATCCTGATATTCTTCCAAGGAATTGAAACGTACATGGTTCTCTTTTTCTTCACTTTGTTCCTTATGAACTCTTTGAGGCAGTTAGATTAAGAGAAAGCAACTGACCCAAAATCACCTAATAAGCTTCATGGCTAAATGGGGATCTGATCCTGGGTCTAGTCTGACATTCAAACTACTACACTGTACTGGCTCACAATGCTATAATTAATCTGTGTGATATCTGAATCACCCCTTGGTATTTTGAATCATAACACTAAAGGACCCTTTGAACTACCCTCACACTGTTTGTGCCTATCTGAATATTTGTGAACAGAAAGTGGAAGAAAACTATAATTAAATCTTCAATTTGGAGTGTGATTTAGGGTTGTTAACGGGTCAGAAAACAACCACGTTTCTGATTTAGGACATCACCCCTGTTTTCAAAAGGGAGGGCCAATCTATCTCTGCCCATTAAATTTTCCATAGAGGTTGGGGTGAATGCTAGAGTATTGCCATGTGATGACCTGATGTCAGTTTGAAACCAAAAAGTTAAGTCTCTATTTCCATAATCTCTATACATTCTCCCACCCCTCTGCAGAGTCAGATCCTCCAATATGTCAGAAGTCATTCAGTACCTTTAAAGACTAACAAAATTTTATTCTGCCAGAAGGCCATTGAATCTGAACATGAGGGCTCTAATCCATGATAAATTATGCTGGAATATCTTGTTGCTCATTTTTAAGGTGCCACAGGACTCCTGATTATATTTGCTGCAACAGATTAACAAAGCTGTCCATCTGGAATCCAGTATTTCAGATTTTCATGAACACAGTTGAGAACCTGGCATGCATTTTTAGAACCAGCAACAAGACCAGAAACAGGTTTATGTGAAAGACTGGGATTTTGAAATGAAAGCCATGCCAAAAATCCTCTTGCAAAATGAGTTCTGTTTACTGAAACATTTTAAGTTGTGGCATATTATCCAGGAAAACCTAAATTGTTTCCTTAGGAATTCCCCTGACAACTGCAGTGTGGCAAAAGGAGGAAAGATGGCCAGCAACTCAGAAAATGCTGGAATGAACTATGGAGGCTATATGGAAGAAAAACATATCCCACCACCAAACATGACCACCAATGAGCGGAGAGTTATCGTTCCAGCAGGTGAGATCTTTCTTTTTTGTAAATAGATATTTAATAAGATCTGCCCCATCACTAAATATGGACTTAAACCGTTAAGCTAAGCTCTGATTTAATAGGAGCCTCAAGTACACACTTAATTCTCTTCCTTTGAAAGCAATGGTATTCGAAGTTCTTAACTTTTGGTTAGACAGTGCCTCCTACTTTTTAGATGAATTAGCTCCCACATTCTGCTGCCAGTGTCATATCATCAGTAATCAAGTCATGTAAAGTCATGTATGAATTAGCCAATATATAGGGTTTGTTCCTGACATTTTGTTGAAAGTAGACAGATCCAAACATTGTGGCAGAGGGAGAAGGCAGGAACTTCCATTTCTTTCATGGCCCTCCTAAAGGTACCTACAAGATACATATAAACTATATGTATACTACTGGGACAGCAGCTTTTATTTTAGAAGTCGTATACAATATTCAAACGCAATCAAGCTTCTTGGTAGTGTTTTACACAAAGATGCCTTATGAGCTAATTTTAGAATAGTCTGGCCTTTAAATACAAATGAGGGAGGTTCAACAATGTATACATTTGTTGAATACACTAATACATAGACTAGGGATTTTATGCTGTGGATATGCACCTACACTATCCACTGTGTACTTCAGGTGGTTGACAAGATGACATTGAAAAATAATACAGAGAAATACTGAAGATCTTTTCTAGAGCAAATAGTGTTGGAGTATGAAATTCAAGTAAACTTGCATTCCAGAGTGGTAGCATTGGTGTGGCAGCACCAATGTGGATAAAGGGGAAACACGCTAGATAGTGGGTCAGCATTCCTACACTTTTGTGCTAGTTACAGTGTAATCCTAAATAGGTATGCTGAGAACTAAATTTCACTGAATTTAATGAGTCGTAGTAAGTATGTTTAGGATTACATCCTCAGACACTTTTTTACCAATAAATTCTGGTTCAGAGATATACCATTCTGCTAAAAAAAGAGATCTTTCAAGAGGACTATAATAGAATGGCTACAGCATCTAACTGTGTGGTGATCTGCAAAGAACAAGCACAGTCCAAGGTAGATGCCTGTAGCACAATGAAGTTTATGAACTTCCAGATATATTTTGATCATTAGGCAATGCCATGATATAGTCAAGCAATGCCATGATTGAGAAATTCAAAAACTGATGAACAGAATATCCCAGAGAATCCTAGAAAATAAAACCTTTGAGGAGTTTGACATGTTACTATGAGGTATGGATATACCATTACCTGAGAGGATTTATCTGTCAATAAAGTATTTATAACCATGTATTTTTGGTATACTTTGGCCCCGGTCATACGGGCCGGATAACGCGGGGGGGGGGGGCATGGCTGTTAGTCCCGGAGCAAAATAAAGTGCAGTATAAAGTGCAAAATAAAATGCACGTGTATTTTCAAGATGAAATATGCACACATAACAACAGCAATAAAGGAATGGCTCCATATATGCAACCTGTTTTATTCCACCTACAATATTAATTCCTGACCTAGAACATCAAATAATGGTCAGTACTTTGGTTGATCACTGCTGATATATTACCTAGGGTAATCATGCTATTATTCTTCAGATGGAATAATCAGTTCCTCTCATTTATGCAGTTATGGAATTGTAAACATGCTACCTTGGTAAAAAAAAATGAAATCAGTAATATTGTTTTATACTTACTTTGCACTACTGGTCATCTATATGAGGCTAATTATTAACAGAATGGAAGCATTTACTTTTATTCCCAGTGTTCCAAAATTACTGAATATAAAATATTTCTGTTTCTGCTGTATCGCTTAATGTTCCTACAGTTATACAGTGGCAAAGATCTGCAAGAACAGTAATTGTGGCTAAAACTGCAACCTGCAGTTCTGTCAGTTATTTGTCAAGCTAGACAATTGTTGCATAATCTTCCACATGTATTCATGCAATGGTTTTTAAACTATAGCAAAACTGCTTTACTGAATGGATATGCATTCACAAACAGCCCTATGGGCCTCTAAAGCAACAGGGGATGAGTGGATTTACCATAGCTACCTTTTTTCCAGTCTTGGAACTATAAGTAATTATAAATAGCTTTCTCCCATCCACATCTCTTTTAAGAAATATATTTGGAAATGAATGCAATAGTTCTTCTGAGAGGAAGAGGTCTGTATGCAAAAACAGCTGTTTGCCGAGCTGCACAAGAAATAATTGAATAAAGCCCTGCTGTCTGACTGCCAGATGTTTTCACTTATACAGGGCAATTGCAGCAAGCAGGATGATGTGGCAAAGCAAAACAAGAGGGAGAAGGCAAGATTTATAATTCCCATCTGAGCTAGTGCACTGCATAGACCTTGGTTTCCATATTAAAATTTTTCACCTGAATAAAAAGATAAATTCACATACACAGAAAGATAACAAAGGGGCTGTTCTTCCTGTAAAGATAGGCTGCAAGTGAACTGACATCATTAAAAGAACACAGCCAGGTGCCCACACTCCCAGTCGTTGTACATGTCAGTGTTCAGCGAGGCATATACCAAGTGCCACTGCACAAATCACTGACTTTGGACCAATTTGGTCCATCAATGTATCTGATTTTAAAAGCTGATGGGAATGGAGTTTATTCTTATACTATTAAACTGAAAAATATTCTTGGAAAATAGAGGCACTTTGTGGGAAAAACCTTTTTTGGCTTGTTAGACAGCTTTTGAACAACTATCCAAACAGGGATGAACAAAACACATATTGTAACATGGGTATTAGCTGGATCCTTAACCACATTCCTTCTTTGATAGCAAGAATAATGCAGGCAAAGATGATGGATTAATCTAGGATTAATTCCTGAAGCAGAATAATTAATACTATTCAGTATTATTTTAGCATGCTTGCTAGGAAAAAGCTAATTCTCCATAATAAAACTTTCTCCTTTTCCAACAGATCCCACATTATGGAGTACAGACCATGTACGCCAGTGGTTGGAATGGGCCATCAAAGAATATGGCCTCCCAGATGTGGACATCTTGTTGTTCCAAAATATTGATGGGAAAGAATTGTGTAAAATGACCAAAGATGACTTCCAAAGGCTCACACCAAGTTACAATGCAGACATTCTTCTCTCACACCTACACTACCTCAGAGAAAGTAAGAACTAACCTATTTTTTAAAAAAGGTTGTGTCCACTATATTTTGCCCCTCTGATACTTCAAATGCTATGCTAGATTTTATGAATATCATTTACATGAAAATTTGTAGTAATGTTTTTTCTGGTCACATGATTTTTCCCGCTTTCCATTACTGAAAAGATCATTCCAAATTAGATGATAGACGTATTGATTTATAAAGAAATGCCAGGCATGATTAAATATATGTTTTCAGTACAGCACAAAGGGGCATTTTATAAGACTCCCATAGAAATGGGATTTGTAGACTTTCAGGTAAAGAGCCCACTAAGGATAAATAAACTGAAACTTGTAGGCAGCATTTGAAAATAAAGGGGAAACGAGTAAATTAGTCTCTTGAAGCATACAGAAAATGTTGAGTAAATGAGTAAAAGATCAAATGAGTAAAAGAAGAAATTCTATTTTTAAAAATCAGGCAATGCAACACCAACATGACATTGTCTTTTCATTAGCCTTACTAATTTTCAGGATATTTCCCTCTGCATTAAATTAACTCCCTGCTAGCAGTGGTATCATAAACCCAGCCCCACACAGAGCGGAATAATGTTAGAATTGCCTCTAAACAAGGCTCTTAGAATAAAATCACATGCTTATTAAGATAATTTTGGATATCTCTTTTTAAAATTTTGGTGTTGCTTTTTGTTTTGTAGCTCCTCTTCCACATTTGACTTCAGATGATGTTGATAAGGCCTTACAAAACTCTCCACGGTTAATGCATGCTAGAAATACAGGTAATGCTGTCACTGCTCCCCTATCTATAGGCCATATTTTTTACATGATAACTGTAAATTAAGAAAGGAAGACAGAGCTTTAATATTACTATAGTAACTAAGGGAAATTTTCATACACACACTCCATACCCAAGTGAGGCCATTCAGAGCAACATGCAAGCTGCAAGTAAATCCATGTGCTTTACATGGGCAGCACTTTACATCAGTCACCTGGAAAGAAATATTGACCCCCAGACAAAGAATGTGTTTCCTAACTTCCCCTATACGTACACACTTGCAGGCACAAACATCAATAAAATTTCACCTCCATTGCTTCTCATCTTTTCTTCATTACTATGAACACTTACCCACATAACATTAAGAAAAAACTTCTTGTGTACCATGGAATAAGATTCAAGCTTAGCCTCATCCCTTAGCCCTCAACAGCATTAGAAGAAGAAGAGATTAGATTTATACCCCACCCTTTACTACCCAAAGGAGTCTCAGAGCGGATTACAAACTCCTTTCCCTTTCCCTTCCCACAACAGACACCCTGTGAGGTAGGTGGGGCTGAGAGAGCTCTGACAGAAACTGCTCTTTTTCAAGAACAGCTCTTATCAGAACTACGGCTTGCCCAAGGTCATCCAGCCAGTTGCAAGTGGAGGAGTGGGGAATCAAACCCAGTTCTCCCAGATTAGAATCCGCACACTTAACCACTATACCAAACTGGCTGTCAAACTGGCTCTATACATGTTGAAGTCAATACACATAGAACAGGAGAGGGCATTTGCTGCTTTTTCAAATGTACCCAACCATATGGGTACATAGTCTCCAGGCCCATGAGCCAGCAGTCATATGTAGGTGGCGTGCAGGGACAGCGTACTCCTCTGTTCACATTGACCAGCATGCATAATGCCCTTTTCAGTTATTACAGTCATGGTGCTTAATCTGCATGTAAGGGGAGATTGTGCTGCCTATGATCTTCCTGCTACATGAATAGGTCAATGTACATATTTTCTAGCTTTGATACATGTGATTAGAAAGCCAGGGGGAGGGGGCGCGGTTAGGGTACTTATTTGCATGTACCATGCATATCTGAGAGGAACATGGTTGGTGCGATCTTCCTTTACATATAGTTTGACCACCAAAATTGTAACAATGGCAAAGGGCTAATTTTGTCTTTAGTGGACCACTGAGAGAGACTATCTCGGGGACAGAGATGTGAAATGAAGCTGAGGCAAAAGAAGTCTCTTTTGCCCACTTGTCTACTCAGTCTGTTTCCAAGAAAAGCAGAAATGTAGGGATCTGCCTGAATGTATCTAATTGTCCAGTTCAGGTCTGGTTTTTTAATGGATTTGACATAGTAGTTATAGTACAACTTGAGCCACTACAGCTACTTCAGTTTTTGTATTTGGCAGAACTGCCTAGCTTTAGCTCTGTGCCAAGTAGATCCTCCTGAATCTCACAGGTTGCCTTAGAAGGTTGCTACAGGGGATTCTTACCCACTCCCATGCCATGTTTGTACCATTGTGATAGGAACAAGGATCAAACAGCAAGCAGTGAGAAGGAATCTCAAGAGACTCATGCTTATCTTCCTAAGCAAGGTGAAATTTCTGCCTATGTAAGGGGAACTGCATATTTCACCTTAGGTCTTCCTGCCATTGTACAAAATCAGAGCCATGGGGTAAGGAAGCACAAGTCCCTTACTACTACTCTTCTTGCCACTTCTCTGTTTCATGCAGAGGTCTTGTATGCCACCTTGGGGGCTGGTATTACATATTGAGACAAAGCCCCTACCAGGGAAAGACTCTGCTGCCATATTTCTTCAAGCCAATTCACTTGCAGCAGTTCAGAGGATTCAATCATTTTTTTTAAAGAAACATTTTATTGGGTTTTTTCCTTGATTAAATTTGGGCTGTAGGTAAGGCAACTAAAATAAACTTCTTGAATTTGTGAATCAGAAGAAAATATAGATTTATATAAATATCTGTAATCTGACTAAATGAAAGTTTGAGATATCTCATTATCATGCCTGAGGGTTTTCATGACTTACAGTGACCAGAAATAACAGCTATATAAGAAACAAAAAAATTAATCCTAACTCTGGGCACCTTTTAGAAACTCACTTAGATTTTCTCTCTGGTAAATCAATGGTGTGTTTTATACACATGTATTTAGTACAACATTAAATAACTTGAGCTCATACTTTCATATTTTGCTGTACACAAAAGTCCCCTCAGAAACTGACATACGTATCCTCACTATATTTTCATGCATCTTAAAACTAAATGTCAAGAAGTACAATTTTTCATGATGCGACTGAGCCTGAAATCCTCCTTCCTTCTCCTTGCATGCCATTCTAAGTTTAAAGACTAGTTTGTTAAGTAAGTCTTTGATATAACCAGACATCGTCGTAATATCTGGATTCTGGCTCTTGAATCATTTGGTGTTTGTTTCTTGTACAAACTAGAATTCTAAATAAATCCTGGTTTACAATTCTGGTTTGTGGACAGAAAAACACAAGTTTGTCAAATTGTCTGAATTTGCACATCTCAAAAGACTGTGGTTAGATCAAAGACTAGCTAAAGTTTCTTCCATCTTTACTATGTTCAAGGAGGTGGAAGAAGAGAGGCAGCAAAAGAACACAAGGATTACAAGGTTTTCATGCCACAAGCAAATTATGATGTTTGTGATGTTTAAACGTAATCCAACCCATGACGTTTTAAAATAACATGGGAAACGAGCCTTGAGTGGAATCCAAAGAACCATGAGGCTAATGACTTCAGCTTAGTGTTTCAACGATACAGGCTTTTTTTTCTTTATTAATCCTCACTGTTTTCATACGCACCAAAGTGTCTGTATGTATGTGAAAGGTAACAGTAAGGACACTATCTGGATGCTGCAAATTAAAGAACTTGTATTTCCACAAATAGATGTCAAAAAGGGTTAAGCTTGAGTTCAGACTTTACAGAAATAAACACTTGTATGCTAGTTGAAAAATAGGTAAAGAAAGGCCTCGTCCTCTATCATACAAGACTCACCCAGCTGCCTCAGTTTGCCCCAGAATAGCAAGCATATGGTAAACCACTACACAACACATGTAGGGTTATGCAGGGTGGGGGAAATAATTGGTGTACCTGATGTGCCTGGCAGACCTAATATGAAATCTGTGGAAAAGTTAGTACAGCTTCTCCTATTTGGATGTGGTTGATTTTCTGCCTATGTATTAATCTGAAACTGACTTTTATCTCATTGAATACTTGTCAGGGAGATCATGCTCTCCATCATAGTCCAACTCCAATTTATTTATTCATAAGCTTTGCTCCAGGTAATAATAGCCAATGCAAAATTATCCTTATTGCTATTGTTGTCTTCTTGTCTCCAGGAGGTGCAGCTTTTATTTTCCCAAATACTTCAGTTTACCCTGAAGCAACCCAAAGAATTACAACCAGGCCAGGTATGCAGGATGCAGGATTTTTTGTGTGCTTGCTTGCTTCAATCTAGCTTACTGGTCTCCTCCCTGTCCTGCTGTCTCTAGGCACAGAACATCAATACTGAACATGTAATATAATATATTATCCTTGAACCTGCACCATACACATACTACTGAGTCAGGACTGCTCAAAAAGTCTGACCAAATCTTGACCTTTTCCCATCTAAAAATGAAATTTTGTTATGATTATTAAAATATTTGGCTTTTAAAAAATCTCAGAACAGTTGGGTTTTATGTTTGTTCAAAATTAAAAATTGTTTGACAAACAATTTTTTGAAAAGGAGCCTCAAGGAATATTAAATGTTGATTACACACTGAAAATGCAATTATATTCAGTCTTCTTCCTCAGCAAAAATTGTGGCCATTTCAGGTTTTTATTACTTATCAATTCAAGCCAGAAAGAAATAAAATATTGTTTATTTTTATTATTTATGAAAATTATTTTATTCCAACATACAGTCATGAAGTTCTGTATATTTCCTGTACTGCAATCCTACATTAATAACATCTATGAATACCTCTAGGGATATGCACTCAAATATGTCTGGTCTGAATATATACCTAAAAATTCCTTAACCAGTTTTTTGCGGGGTATACAGACAGTGTTTAGGATTTTGAGGGATACCAGTTAACTGGGTGTCAAAAAAATGGAAATACTTGCATATATACGGGAATATTTGGGGCTGCCATTTTAAGGCTCCCAAGGCTGTTTTTCTTATTTTTTTTCTTCATGTTCACAGGTTTCCCAGGCCACAGGAGGGAGGGGTAAGGGAGTCAGCTCTCCAGAACTTAAGGGGGAGCATAATGATGATTCTGTTATCTTTCCATGGTTCTCTGAGCATGAGCAAAGAGGATAAAAGGACTGCAACTGGACTGCAGTGCTGTTGCCACTTTTGTTGTTGCTTTCTGGTCTCTGTCTTAGAGTGCTGCCTGCCTGAGAAGACCTTCTTGTTCTGTGCCTGCCTTCTAGACACCCTCAGAATTGTTTTTCTAATGTATTTGTTTTAAATTGACATTTCAGGTTTTTCTGGGTGTTTCCCCCCCCCGGGGGGGGGTTATAGTTAGGAGGGGAGGATGCCCTTTCTTTTTAATTCTTTAAAAAATAGCTTTCCTTGATTTTGTATTGCATTGTTTTTATGCTGTTCTCTTGGCTTGTTTTAGAATTGCTTTGCATTTTTCCTGGTTCTAAAAGATTTGTAATTGTTAAAGGGTTTGTGGTTTGGGGGAAATTGTTTTTTTGCATTCTTCTGCTTTCAGTTTTACAGTTCTTCTATAGTTGTTTTAAAGATATTCCTGTGGCTTTTTGTAGGGGTGGAGTAGTTTGGAGTTTTGAGATTCCCGATGGTTTTTAAAAAATGTAATTCTTGCAGCAGGTTCTGAAGAAAATGTCTGGTTAGGTTTTAATAAGTTAACTGTAGGTGAGGATTTAGGTATTTTAAAAACACATGGTCAGTTTGGCTTGGATTTTCTGGTTTGACATTGGTTCCATTGCGCTTGTTGATTCTGTTTGCAATTTGGAGGCATATGGCCAGTGGTTGCTCTTGTGTACTACTGGATTCTTTGAATTTTCCTCCCATAGTAAGCAATGGAAACAAGTAGGATGTCTTGGGGTGTTACCACAAGTGAAAGGGGACGCCCAAGGAATTGAGGCTCACCTTCTTCCCCGATAGGTACCATCACCGCGGAGCCAGCATGGCGCCCAGAGACGACTGCCGGAGCAAGCAAGCACAATCAAACTTCTAAAAAGACTTCCAAAAGACCTCCAAGGCTACAAACTATGAGTTAAGCAAAGCTCAGGTGAAAATAAGCGAATGAAGCCTTGGTAGTAATTGGAAGCGCCTAAGTTTGAAGCGCAGGGGGAGAAGATTTCAAGGCCCCCCATATGAGTAAACTGTAAAATCGGTTTTAAATTGAAAATAAAAAGACTTTGAGCCAAACCAAGCGTATAAGAAGTTAAGCGAACGCAAAAGCTCTAAAATATGCAAAGCGGAATTAAAACGCATACTTTTGCTTTGTTTTGGAAAACTTACTTCTTGTTGATATTATGGCTGGGAGAGGATGGAGAGGGTCAGAGAAAAAACTGGTGACCGGAAATAACATACCAACGACTCCCTCCTAGAACCAGGAAGCATCTACAGACTTCTCTTCGTTGTTAGCAAGTGCACTGCACGCTCTAATGGATCAGATGACTACTCTCAACACTAAGCTAGATAATGTACAAAAACAACTAAAGCAGATGGATAAGAAAACCTCAGCAACTGAGAAAACGTTGAAAAAGATGGACAAACAGACTGAGAGTATTAATAAAAGAGTGGATGAAGCAGAGAAGGAGAGATCCTCATAATACAGCTCCAGCTGGAAAGATCCACGTATGTTCTACGTTTCCATGGAATACCTGAAGATAAGAATGAGGACTTAAAGGAACTCTTGGTGATTGCCTTGGCCCCACTAATGGATTATAAACAAGAAGACTTAATTAAGGAAATGGATGTGGCATACAGGACTTATCCGGATTTTATAAAGAAAAATAAACTTCCAGGGGAAACTTACTTAAAATTCATGAAACGATCAACCAGAGAACTGGTGCTAAAGTCAACAATGGGGAAATCCTTAAAAATCAAGAATGAAGAGATTAAAATATTGAAAGACATTCCATTTGAAGGAAGAAAACAGAGGAAATTATACAGGATGCTTACCCTGCAAAAAAGGGAACACCGTATAGATGGCTATTCCCGGAAGGGCTGAGTTTTAATTACCAGGATAAAAAATATAAAATTGACTCTGTTCCAAAAGCAGAAAGATTTATAGATCAAATG